GAAATGGTTTCTATTGTATCAGCCGATGACCTTGTTCAAGGAAATTGCATTTGGACCGCATTTACACGTAAAGACCCTGGGCTAAATTTGGCAGGAGATGATGAGGTAATCATAACATCAATATAATAGCAAGGAAAATTCCTTACAAATGTCCCCAAAAGAGGGCTATTATGTCGCAGCTCATTGTTACGACGAATTACGGAGAAAAATAGTAAATATGACGAAATTCGCTGCTGAAATGGAAACGCGAAACCTGATACATCTGTTTAATGGCGGATACTATTTTTTTAAGCTAACTTTCTAGCTTTTGTGCTTTACAATTATATGTAATTAAGTATATTAATATAAATGATGTTTAGTTGACATATGCTAACCTAGATTGGAATGTAATGCGGCTTATTACTGCTCATAATAAACATTTTTAACCCAAAACGGATGTTTATCCCGAATGGGATATTACTCTCGAAACGTCATCACCATAAACGCTGCATCACTTTTCCAATTGGTACCACCAAAATATTATCGCAATGTAATATATTTACAGAAATTAAGTAGTGAAGAATCTGCATGAATGTATGTATTTTACTCGTATTGTGAAAAAACACCTGTACCTACAGCCATCAAATTGTGAATAACGCAGTCCTCCACCCGAATATGGGCATCTGGAAGCTTGAACATTGAATTTTGAGTGAATTTTTTTGTTTTATTATCTGTTTTTTTATTAAAAACTCAACAATTTCAACGACTCAAGCGAGCAATGGCAACACTGTGCAAAAATTTTTTTTTTTTCTGCTTTGCAGGAGACTGCCTATCGGAGATTCTAAAGATATACTGTTTTTAAACATTTTCGATTTTTCTTTTGAATCGAATTTTATGTGGTGTAAGCGCCGAGAACGTGATAGTTAATAAATAAATTTAACACACAAAACGTTAATAATAAAAAGACAAAAAGAAAGTTTTGTAGAACCATCTTAGTAAGGACTGAACATTGATGTAATAAACTGAGAAAAAAAAAGAAGTATCTATGCCAAAACTATACACTGCATCGGAAATATTAAACATATACTGCTACGCTGCTTTTAAAAGCTAAAAAGACAAAAAAATGGTGAGTGTAACAGCAGACTGGTAGATTGCAAGCTCAGAGAGAGCGTAAAAGAACATTAACAAACCCTTTTGGGCGACCATTAAAATCAGAAACCTTTCATTTTTTTAACACTTTTAATTAATTAATTTATTTTTTACCGTTATTGGGTGCAAAATGCTTTTAAAAAACTTATTAGTTTTTAAAAGATATATTGGCGATAATTCTATGAATTGTTCCTATAAGGTATTTGTCCCGCCTTCTTGGCATGCCTTCGTGTTGTGTTGGTCTGCACGCTCAGCGCGTAATTGATAGGTCCGTGGTTCGATTCCCGCGAAGGCATTGTATATTTTTCATCTTGCCTGCTTCCTTCCCCAAAAATACCCAAGTCTCTACAGTGGCGCGCGAAATAAAAAAGGGTGTTGGATGATGATTCTCACGCAGGATTTGTAGATTGGGTTCCCTAAAAATCCCAGTCGCCCTTTAAAAGAAGGGGTATATAACGTACAATCAGCGCGTAAATGAGAGGACCGTGGTTCGATTCCCGGCGAAGGCGTTGCATATTTTTCATCTTGCCTGCTTCCCCCCCCCCCAAAAAAAAAAAAAAAAAAAAAAAACTAACGTCTCTACAATTTTTGACGAAGTTTAATAACTATCACTTAACGTTTTACACTCAAAACTAGTTTCCTGACATTCGTTTTCGCACAAATTTTCATACGTACTGGTTTTACTAAAATATAAGGACTAAAATTTGTATTCTGAAATATTCAGCATGGGGAATTTTTAAGTAAATCCGTAATGCATAAAACCATACTTTTTATGATTATTTTAAAAAATGTAATGCTTTGTAAGATGAGAATATTGAACTCAACTAAATTAAATGCATATCGAATTGCTTTAAGGTTTATAATCATAAAGTACTGAGAATAATTTGAAAGCAATGTTACTTTATTATGAATATCGTATGTTTATCAGTTATAGTCAATTTAGAGTAATTTAAAATTTCCATTACACTGGAAATCATTAGACCAATAGCATAATAACCCTATTTGTCTTAAGTTTCTTTACACAGTAATTATCGTAGAGCGTTTGCTTTCCTTTATTCTGAATAGCGCAAAAAACATTCTAATACTCGTTATTATATAAATAATTATAAAACATTTCCGATTAAATTTCTTATACATTTTTAAGTTCTTTTATAATTTAATGGATTCTGTAAAAATGTATCCCTTATTTATAAGTGGCCCATCAGCACTAGCCGACTTTTAGCCCAAAGTGGCGTTACACCCAAAGGCCTATTAGTCTCAAAACAGGATTTTGCAAACTGTTGCCACCAAATATGATCGGCATGTATTATATTTAAAGAAACTAAATAATGAAGAATCTGCATAAATGCATGAATATTTCTCGCATTGTGAAAAAACAGCGGTAGCTAGAGCCATCTAGTTTTGAGTAACGTAGTCCTCCAACCGAACATGTGCACGTGAAAGCCGGAATTTGAATTTGTTTTATTATCTCTTTCAAATTTTGTGAAACTTTATCGAATTTTTGATCAACGAACACAACGATTACGTACTATAGACATATTTTCACCAGATAAAACAAATTACAAGGCATGATAACTAAATTACATACTCCTAAATTACAAGGCATGATACTAAAATCTTTTTATTGAAGGAATCTGCACTAGATTTAGCAATATTTTCTCAAACTGAAATATGCATTACAAATAAAAATCCTTTTGAAATGTCTAAGGAGAAGTTTTTAGAACACCTGTAACCAAAGTGCTAATAAAAAGACGGTTAAAAAGTATCTTTCAGAAACAAACATGTTACAACTAGTAAGAGAGATATCATAAGAATTGTGCTTGATGTGCGAAACAGAATACACGTTTTTAATAACTCACTGTTATTAGTAATTACATCTGTATGTAGATTTTTATACTGAGCTGAGAACAAACTCTCTCATTTACAAATCTACTACTGCTTTCTCTTGCAAAATACCAAAAATTTCACATAATCTGGAATTAGAGACAGCCAATAAAGCAGGCTGCAAGCAGCTAAGAATTGATATTTTTTTAAAACATTCGCAGTACGCAAAGAATATATAGTAAATACTTCAGGACTTCCAGGATCATTATATTGCATGCTTTGTAGCAATTTGTAAAACAATGTTTCTTAACCATTTTTATTCGTATACTAGCGGGCAAGCCCGCCAAATGAAGAGCTTGCGGCCAAAGCAAAATTTATCAATTCTACGTACCCATGAAAAGAAAATGCATAAAAGCATTTCAACGTGAATGAAATCAGTTTATTCTTTATAAGCAGCAGCCAATTCGTAAATAATTTTTTTGTTGCCAAACCAGGAAACAAAATCTTTTGACACTTCATGTTAATACGTATGACGTCATGATTTAAATTTAATGCAACGTCACAATTTTTTCTTAATATCAATAAAAAAATTAACCTGGCAAAAGCATATCGTGTCAACTATCCTAAACCGAAACAAAATGCTGCGAACAGAAGCTATTTATTTAAAATGCTGACATTAACGAAAAATTTTCAACCTACAATAAAGTCACATGCAACCGCGTTTTGTCCTGAAGCAATTTGCCCTGAAGGACTGTAAATTTTGTTTCGGCATTTTGCATCAATTCATGATAAGCGTTGTTTCACTTTTCAAATTGTTGCTACCAAATATTATCCCCCTGTATTATATTTAAAGAAATTAAATGTTAAAGAAATCTGCATGAATGTATGTATATTTCTCGCACTGTGATAAAACAACGGTACCTAGAGCCATCAAAAGTTGAATAACGTAATCTTTCATAGAATATGGGCATCTGGAAGCCCTAATTTGAACTTGGACTTTGTTTTATTATCGATCTCATATTTTGTAATACTTCAGCGAATTTTTGATTAACAAACTAAACGATTTCAAAGCGAGCAATAGTAAAACTGCACGGGGAAGGAAAAAAAAATTATCTCCAGCGCGCGAGACTCTGTATTGAAAATTCTAAAGATATGCTCGTTTTAAAATTATTTGCGATATTACTGTTGAACTGAATTTTATGGCTTGAATACGTAGAACATGATATTTAATAAATAAAGGTAACACACAGAACGTTAAAAAAAGGCCCCTTTGGATGTAATTTAAAATCTGAAGCCTTCCAGATTTTTTTTTTTTTCATATTTTGTAAAACTTACAAATTTTTATTAACAAACTCTACGATTTGAAAGTGAGCAGTGGCAACACTTTTCGAAATGAAGCAGATTTTTATTTCCAGCGAACGAGACTGTTGCCACTCGGAAAGAATGAACACAAAAACTAGCGTTTGCAGAGCTTTTCATTAATGTCTCGGCTGATTAAAGTCGTACGAAGATGAGAATGATCAAAATGGCTTCCTGCGCTCGAAACTTAACTCCCCGCCGTTCCGGAGATGATGATGATACAAACAAAAAGGCGCGCACAGATTTAAATAGTATTGTTAATCGACTGCTAATATATGTTTCATTATTTTAATCTGTGCATGTTAGTACATTCTTCACTAATAGAATTTTTAGAATCTAGGAATATATTCTGTGTCGAAATTATTGGTAATTTACAGTAATTTATGTGCCAGGTAATGTAACATTTTCCCGTTTCACTTCCTTTAGATATTATTATCATTATCTAGCGTAATCCGAGATTATATGAAACTGGCAAATCTTCATGGCACAGTTAGCATCCCCTCTTCCTTCGAACCCCAAACAAAAGGGACGCGCTTTCAAATAGCAACAACGGCTAAAGAAAAATGATGAAATAAATGAAAGGAAGCTGGGAGGGAGGGGTAACCCCCGAAATACAAGAAAGAAGGTGTCGTAAAAAAACACATCTTCGAGAAAGGAACTTCTTCCTCGAAGAGGTTCGTGTCTTTTTCCTCGTTAGAAAGTGAATGGCCGCAAGTATTAGCGACCCACTTACGAACTCCAGTGGGTCACTCGGCTCCAGCCGAGGCCCGAAATCAGTTGAGTGCCAATCCGCCGCTCGAACGAGTGTTCAGTACCTGTTCATGCTTGACAGCATGGGGAACAACACCATGAACCTCATACTATGTCTAGTCTTGCTTTCCAATGGGATTTTTGCCTTAGCGCAGCAAAATACAGGTAAGTTTTTTAATTTATAATAGTAACATCGCTATATCTAGCATAATTTGAGTTAAATTTAGCCCTTGTTTCAGAGTAAAACATTTACTCAATTTTTATGCAAGTAGATAATACTACATTAAAAACTAAACATTTTAATTTCTGTTCTGGAGCTTCAGTGTTCATATTAGTGAAGATTTTATTCAATGGAAATAATTAATTAAGTGATATACGCATAATTTGCTACTTGTTACGTAAACTTTTTGTCTCAATAAACACAACTTGATAGTTGCTAAAAAGTGTTATCATTGTATAAAGAAAATACATTGAAATTGTATAAAGAAAATTCAATTTATACAATGTATTACATTGTATAAATTGAAAAGGAAAGAAACAAACGTATTTCATACGTTACCATATTCATAAATTCATAAATAGCTAATAGCTAATTCGATGTACTTTAGTTCAAAAGTCTCTTTACATAATAATTGAAAATATCTTCAAAATATTTAGAGCTTGATTTTATACCTAAAATCTGGTAACTTTTAAACTGTCAGAAACATCTGAAATCCTTGTTGGTATATAAAATATAGCTATTCCGTTTTAGTACAATTTTTTCCAAATAAACAAGTATATATGTGTTATTTTTTCTCAACAGATATAAACACATATTTGCTTTCTTTTCCATTAAAAAATTATTTAAAAAAATCTGAAAGGTTTCACACTGTAACGGTCGTCCAAAATGGTTTGTTAAGGTTTTTTTACACTCTCGCTGACCTCTTAGTTTACCAGTTTGCTGTTGCACTCACTCCTGCTAAACCCCTTTTTTTGTCTTTTTAGCTATATTATTAAGCATCGTTTTCTTCGCACTTATACCACATAAAATTCTACCGCACAAAATTTTTAAAAATTGCATAATAGCATATATTTAGACTTCTCGCTGGAATGTTGGCGTATATTTTCCATTTTTTTCACTCTTTTTCTCAGTTCGTCATATCAACATTTAGTGTTCATAGCACGTGGCTAACAAAAAGGAAAAAAAAATGTCTTTTTATAATTAACTTTTTATGTTGTAACTTTATTTATTAAATATTGCTTTCTTCGCACTTACGCCAGATAAAATTCGATTCAATAACAAAATATTTAAAAACATCATATATTTAGAATTCCCGACAGACATCTCGCATGCTGGAGATAAAAAGGTTTTTATTCCGTACAGTTTTGTCATTGCTCGCTTTCATACCGTTGAGTTTGCTGATCCCCCCCAAAAGAGTGGGGGGGGGAGAAAAACTATACGCATCGTTTAACAAGAAATCTACATTTTAAAATTATTTTACACAAGGTGAAAAACTTATATTTGCATTTTAGGAAAGCAGATCGTATTTTAGGATCGTATTGAGGATCGTATTTTAGGAAAGCAGATCGTATGTTACAAATAATCAGATATTGGTCGTCCATTGCAGTTCTAATATCAAAATATACTCCACTGAAAATGGTGAAATCATTTTGAGAATTCCTAACTGGTTGTGAATTTCAGAACCGCTCAAGTATGTTAACTATCTGAAGACTGCCTCCGGATTTAATTTGTCTCTGGATTACCCTTGTATTTCAACGGTATTTGTGCAAAAATACATCTTCAATTTTCTCATAAAAGTTCTATGTGTCAACGCAACAGCCGCATTTTTTCACAGCATAAATGTATTTGTTCCGTCCTTTCTTACGAGTACTGTATTTTTCGCAGCAGAAGAATAGTTATTACAGTTTTCATTTTGTTCCTCTAACAACTGAAGCAAATTTATTTTCACTTCCTTCGAAAGTGTCATATCTGTTTTGACTTTTTAACTCACGCAATAAGAGAGCTATTTGTTACCTATAGCATTTCCTTTTATTTTTAAAATTTGAAAAATCTATAATTAATGCTCAAACTTGGGAATTATTTCGAAGAGGATAATTATATTACACCTGGGACTCGCACTGCTATGAAATATTATCATTTTAAGAAATCTTTCCTTAATTTAAACGGTATCATTATTCTCTTAATAGACTTCAAAAACAAAATGCTTCTCCAACTTCAAAAAGAATATATATATATATATATATATATTAATTATATAATAATTTTCACGCTAATGAAGAAATGTAGGGTTTTATTGACAAAGAAGTTATAAGGTATTTCTCCCGCCTTCTTAGCATGCCTTCTTAGCATGCCTTGGTAGTGTAGTGGTCAGCACACTCGACGCGTATTCAAGAGGTTCGAGGTTCGAATACCGGCAAGGGTGTTGCTCATTTCTTCAACTTCCTGCTATCAAAAATCCTAATGACTCTATACTGTCACCCGAACTAAAAAAGGTGGTGGATGATTCGCTCTTCAAAAGGTTGAGTATATAAGGTATATCTCCTACCTTCTTAGCATGGACACCGGCCTCTTACAGACTGCGCTTTCTTAACTGCGCTTACTGTTTATGTTGTACATAACTTTTACCATTATTTTCACTTATTTTAGTATCTTTGTATCAAGTTTACCCTGTAATATGCACAAGATTTCATGAAGTAGCTGGCACCATCGTTTCCTGATTTGTCGTTCATCGTCACGTGACACACGCCGTCTTTGGACCTCCCTCCCGACAACAGAATCTTCAATTAGGCAGATTCCACGCAGGAGCAAGATGCTCCGTTTCTTCTTCCCACTCAGATATGCCTCTTCGGAAGAATCATCCTATCTGGTTTGATCACCGTCAGGCCCACAAAGGGATTAGATAAGGAACTGGCAAGATCAGCTATAATTACCTGCTGTGAGCTAGTATATAAGTTCCAAAGTTCTTAGCACGCTTTCGTGGTGTAGTGGTCAGCAAGGCGCGTATTCGAGAGGTCCGAGTTCCAGGAAGGATCTTGCTGATTTCTTCAACTTCTACTGTCAAAGGTCCTAATGACTCTACAGTGTCCCTTGAACTAAAACAAGTGGTGGATGATGATTCTCCAGGATTTGGCGATTGGGGGCCCCTAATCCCCAGTCTCCCTTTAAAAGGTATTTCTGCCGCCTTCTTAGCATGCCTTCGTGGTGTAATAGTCAGCACATTAGGCGGGTATTTTGAGAAATCTGAGGTTCGAGTCCCGGCGAGGACATTGCACATTTTTCACCTCTTCTGCTTCCAAAATCGTCTAATGACTTTAAGAAGATGAATCAGAAATTTGGCTATATTTTCCAAATAAATATAGTGTGTTATCGTGCATTGTTGACAGAAACAGTGAATGGTGTATTAAATTTGAAACTGTATTTTCTCTTTTAAAATAAGAACCACATGCTCGAGTTTATGGCATCAACCAAGATGGACCAAGACTAAGCAGGCCAAGGCTAAACAGATGTATTCTTAATACACCATTGCTGCTTTTAGAATATGGAGAAATGGAGAAGACGACTGTTTATAACGGAAAAAAACATCCAAAAACGAACATTTCCTGGAAGGACTCGCAGTAAGACCGATGGAGTGACATCGATAAGTATTGTGGAAGTCTTGGCTAAAAGCTTCCGGAAAGAAGCCAAAACGAATCTGGTTCACATTGCTGTGTATTTTTCTTCAGTCTGAAGATCAGACTTTCTAGGTACGTTATCTTATTTCCTCAACCATTACGCATTCGTCACATGATACTGTCAAATATGTAGCAGTAATTCTGGTTTAGTTTGTACATTAGTAACAATATACATTTTCTTTCCTAAACTTTAAACTTTAGATAATATATTTTATTTTATTAGTCCAAAGGGGCAATTTGCAAAGAAGGACTATTAATTTCGTTTTGGCATTTTGTGTTGATTCATTAAAAGCGTTGTTTCGCTTTTTAAATTGTTGCCACCAAACATTATCGCCCTGTATTATATTTAAAAGAAATTAAAGAATGAAGAATCTGCATAAATGTATGTATGTTTCTCGCATTGTGATAAAACAACGGTACCTAGAGCCATCCAATTTTGAATGACGTATTGCTACTGCGAATATGGGCAACTGGAAGCCCATAACGAATTCTTGATTAACAAACTCAACGATTTCAAAGCTCGCGATGGCAACGCTGTACAAATATATATATATATAATATATAATATATATATATATATATATATATATATATATATATATTTATCTCCAGCGCGTGAGACTGTGTATCGGAAATTCTAAAGATGTGCTCATTTTTAAATTATTTTTCGATATTGCTGTTGAATTGAATTCTATGGTTTAAATGCGAAGAACATGATATTTAATAAATAAAGGTTACACATAAAACGTTAAAAAACACCCCTTTAGACATAATTTAAAATCTGAAACCTTTCAGATTTTTTGTCTTTTTCTTATTTTTCTATGCATTTATTTTTTGTATTTGGGAAATTTTTTAATGCATTTAAGTTTATTCTGAAGTAGTATTTATCTTGCTATTCTTCAATACTTCATTTCTGTTGATTAAGTAATCACGTTTCGCAATACTAAAAGACTAAAATTTTTTATTAACATATCTGAAAGACTAATGCATTTATGCAGCACGGGTATAACTATGTAGAAGTTTTCCTATCTATCCTAAAAATTTAGTTAAGTTCAAATTATTATATAATTAAGTATTTCCCAATATTTTTTGAGGTTTTCTCGGAGGTGTCTAAACTCCAGCTGAGTAAGCATTAACATTTCTTAAAGTATGTAAAATTTTGTTTTTAGTTATTAATTTAGTAATATCTCTAGCAGTAATACAACTTTGTAATAGACATAGCCAGCCCATTCGTAGGATTCGAACATCCGCACCGAACTATCAGAGTTCAGGGACTTTATCGCTCGGACTCCTTCCCTGGCATTTACTATTTTCGCAATCATTTTTCGTATATACATTACATCCAATTAGAAAAAAAATGCTTTAAATCAGACAAAATATTCCTGCTTTGGCATTTTGTAACTTAAAAAAAAAGTTAATATTAGAAAAATACTAAATTTAACTTTTTAAATATTCTTCCTGTCAACAGTGGAACGTTTTACGGGAAAATATTT